GTACATGTTCTAGCAGCACTGAGAGGCACAGGCACGTGCTTCTTACTCCACCTCTACTTCTAGTAATGGGAGTGCCGCAAAGGTGCCGGTATTTCTTGCTTCTTGCATGAAATGTATGGATACATGTATGTGGCTTTCACTTATTTTGTTTCATGGTACAGGGAGGAGGGAAAAATCCTTTTCATACACCTACATCTATCACATAGCAACTAAGAATAGAAGCAATATTGAGACAGATGGAAATGTTAACGGTGACAGCTCACAAGCACGAATCACACATTTGTGAAATAATGAAAAGGGTGGGCAGTTGTTATATGAACCCCATGTCAGTTGGTATGTTTTCCTGGCTATAATTTTTGCAAGAGTGTGTCTCAGAGATATTTTTGGTTAATGGGAGAAGATGGTGCCTTGCCCTGCCCTGCACCTTGCTGCCATGTGGGTGTAGGGATTCACTGAGGCAGGCGAGCAGAACTGCACATCAGGCATCCTGGGTGCTGCAGGATGTCCTCTGACACTTCCCTGCCGGGGCATTTTAGTATTCCTAACCATGTGGTGGGAGAGACACGGATAGGAGGTGTAAAACCATTTGGAAACCCAAACACGAGGGAAACACGTGATACTCACACTGGTTTCAAACCCTTACTTCCAGGCATACAAGGATTAACTTCTTTTCTACATATCATCTGCCTATGTTCTGTGGTGCCTGTTACCAGCGGGACTCACTGACCATGAACTAAAATGAGGATTATAAATCCAGCCCAGTGTTTCTAACCCACGTTTCTCAGTTCTTCCTAGTTCTTCATACCCAAAAAGCCAGAATCCCCATTTCAAGGACTGCCTTGACAAGCCTGTTGTCACTAGCCCCAGTTTCTTAGCCCCAGTCTAATGTTAGCTCAAAGGGGAGTGAGCTGTGAAAGTGCCTGTCCATATGGATTTTACCTTGTGCTACCTGTCTCTTTCCCAGGGCCTGAGGAACCTGCTGATTTTCAATGACTTTGAGAGGTACTGTTTCCTGCAGATGCTGTTTACAACACTTGACGTGGCTATTTTTTCTGAAGGAATGAACTAGATCTCCTGAAATCTTATAGATGCTCTCTTTGTTTGCGTATCTGATTAAAAATATTCGAGCACTCTGTGGTGATTTACTGCAGTGATTCATAGTGAGACTTACAGCTCTGAGGAAAATCTGTCCCTCAGGATTCATCCACCTTTCCAGAATTTCTCATGGCAGAGCAATCGTACACCACTGTATTTCGGAAGCAGCGTATGGTTACTAAATGGCAACCAGTCTTTCTTTTTCTTGGAGCGTTTCTGAGAGCTCAACAGTATCAGTATGATAAAGAAACAAAATAAAGGGCCTGCTTCACAAAGGGAAATGTGTGCATCCAGCCACCTCAGAATAATGAAATACTAGACATAATCCTCCAGCACACATCTGTGAGTAGTGACCACCAAAAATAAATAGTGAGGACTATCAGACCATTTGAAATGGGAGGTTATTGAATGATGCTAAAAATCAAGTGATTATCCAAATGGAGAGATGCCAAGAACGATGAAGTTGGAGGGAGACCATGCCTACGTCAAATACCATATGAAAACAACGTCTCATACTGGACACAGACACCCAGCAGCCACTGGACCACTAAAGACGACACTCATGATATCATGTAAAATAAAAGGAAAACTATAAAAAAGGAGCAAGACAGCAAAACATTGCAAGATGAAAGGATAGTTGAAGGGGATGGGACATTTTACAGTATCATAACTATAAGTGAAGAAACCTGGTGATGAACCACCACCATGCTGGTGACAGCTCTTGGAGAAATAGTAGATACTAAAATCAATAAAGCTACTTGCAGATGAATGTATGAGTCACCGTGAGCAAATGTGACCGAATAGGGCCCAGTGTCATTTGTTAGCGGCAGTGCATCCCATACGACTGCAGAGAACTATTAGAATTCAACACAAACATAGCAACAGAAGCAGAAATACTGAAGCCAAGAGGGGGTTTAAGAGCTGGAAAAGAAGTAATGGGTGTAAAATTAAAATATAGGAGGATATACAAGATTACCCATGGAGTGGAAAATTGATATACCTAGAAACTCCCTAGCAACCTCCTATATAACAGAACCATATTTTGGGGGAAGTGGATAGGTTTTAGTAGGGCTCATCACCAGTAGAACAGGGTAGGTGTATTCAAGTATTAACTCTACCACCTGACTTTTCCATAGAGTAAGAAAAAAAAAGATCAGGGGAAGTTTCATCATGAACTGAATGAAACCAAGACTGCAAACTAGGTGTGTGTGAGTTTTATCCAGCCTGCCCATGACGGATGCTTCCAATACCCAGCTCTTCTCGGGCTAGTCTCTCCTCACCTTGGAGCTCCCGAGAATTGCCTCTCATCGCATCCTGATAGGCATTCCCAGAAAACGCAAGGTCTACAAGGGGAAATGGAAAAATACACCGCGGAGATCCTGCCCGGCGCCGTCTCTGGGATCCCACCCGCGCATCTCCGGGAGAGGAGGGTGCCTGCTTTTCTTTAATGATAAAAAAACACCTCCCCCCCGCCCCTATAGGTACTAACGCAGAAGAGAAGCCAGGTGACCGAGTTAGTGGGATCTACCCCTGGTGCCGCCCTGCAGCACGTCCATTTTAGCTGTTTATCCAGGGGCAGCTATCGACTAGCCTCTCCCGGGGGATGGGGACGAGGAGGGGCACGTGCGGCATCCCCGGCCCCCTTCCCGCAGGATGGTGCCTCCCGGCTGGGAGGCGGTCGCCGTAGCAACCGCGGCGGGGACACTGACACCCACAGCGGCGGGGGGAGCCCGGCCCGGTGCGGTGCGCGGCGGGGATGCCGCGCCGTCCCCCGCGGTGCCAGCCCCCCGCCTGCCGCGGGGTTCCCTCCTCGGCGGAGCTATGTGCGAGCAGCGGCGGGGGGGCGGGGTGGGGGGGGGCACGGATCCTCCCTCCTTCCCTCTTCCTTCCTTCCTTCCTTTCCTTCCTCCTCACTCGCTCCCTCCTTCCTTCCCCGGCGGACCCCGGCGCCGCAGCGGGGCCGGCCGCGGGGCGCCGCCGGTTCTGCCGCAGGGAGCGCCCGTCACCGCCGAGCAGTGGCGGGCTGGGCTGAGGGGAATCGGACTCCCCGCTCCGTGTCCCCCTCCCCCGGGCGGGTGCTGCCGGTGTCCGGGAATCCCCACAGCGCGGAGGCGCAGGCTGGCCGGAGCAGAGCGGCGGAGGCAGCGTGGACTCCTCCTCCGCGGAGCGCATCCCTCCGCGGCAGCATGGGCCCTGGGGGGAAGCGGGACGCATCTCCGTGAGGAGCCGGAGAGCCCCAGAGCTTCTCTACCTGCGAGCACTGCCGCTACCGCCGCTGTTCCGCCAAACTGCTGACTTTCCAGAGCTTATTTTTAGCCCGGAGACTAAATATTATTAGCTACCTTTCTACGTAGGAAGAATCGGAAGGGGGGAGGGGGTAGAGGGAGGCACTAGAGAGAAGGAGATGAGCAGAAAGCTTATCCGAATGATCTCCAGGTTGGGGGGGGGGGGGGCTGCGTTTGGGTTTCAGGCTTGTCAAACACCACCACCACCCTCCCTTTAATTATAGCAAAGTAACTGCGGATATTGGATCATCAGCAGTACATTCACGGCTCTCCCTCCCAGCCGTAGGTTGCATACACAGAGGGGCCATCAGGGCTCCCTCAAGCTGAGGACCAGCTCATTTCCATGTAGGTAAAGATCAGATGCGTCTCTTTATCTATGCAGGATCAGTTGTGCACAGTGCCAGCTAGAGCTCAGCTGCATCTCTTTAGCTATGCAAAATCAACTTGCATCCTTAGCTAAAGGGTTAAAAACAAATAAATAAAAAACTCCGTTCCATCTGCTTATCTAGGTAAAGCTCAGTTGCATCTCTGCCCAAAGCATGCACACGCATATAGAGAAGAGATTCCCAGATTAAAATCAGGCACAACTTAACTCATAGTGCAATCTCACCAAGCTTCTCCTGCCTTTTCTCGCCTCTGCACACCAAGCAGCCAGCAAGGTAACAAAACTAAAGACTAATGGCAAAGAGCAGGCACCCATCCCCGCGCCGCGGAGGGGGAGAGGCAGGGGGGGTCACCCCTCCGCTTACCTTGGTCACAGCTAATACCACGGGCAGTGGCTAGATCGCCGAGATAAACACTGGCATTTCCCAAAGTTGACACCGCCAAACCAAGCCCCGGGGCTTGCAAGACTCTGTGGGGTCTGGTTTTGGGTGTTTTATTTCCCCTCCTCTCCGTTTCCTATTGCAGCCCGCACCACCAGGAATCCAACTTCGCCCAGCTCCAGCGGGGCGAGAGGGCGGCGGGCGGGGAGGGGAAGGACCGGGAGCAGCGAGAGGGGGTGGCGGAGGGGAAGGGGAAGACGGCGGGGAGAAGCCGGTACCAGGTGCCAGCAGCTCCCGGAGCCCGCAGGGGCGCGGAGCGGGGCGCGGAGCGATGCGGAGCAGGGCCGCCCCCGCCCGGTCCCCGCCGCCTCTGTCCAGGGTGCTGCCTCCGCCGCTCCGCGTCCCCCCGCGCCGTCACGTGCCGCGGCCGCGCCGCTCCGCACACCGCGCCCCCCCCCCACCTCCCCAACCGCTTCCTCCCGCGGCGGGGCGCGGAGCGCGTCCGTCCGCGTGTGTGTGTGTCCGTCCCCCCCACCCCGGCTGTCAGCCGCGGAAAGAGCCGGGGGGGATGGAAGGGGTGTGGGGGGGGAAAGCTCCCGGCGGCAGCTCCAAGTTTCTCAAGCGCAGCGTCTTCATCGCAGCCTTAAATCAAAAGAGCTTTGCGATTAAAGTTACACCGTCTAAAGCACAATTCCCCCTGCCTCCGCGCCTGACATGCTGCTCTGATATAGTAAGTGCCAGAAAGCCGAGCCCGTGGTACTAGATACTGTCGTTAAGCAACAACTCAAGCTTTTTCTTAATTTTGTTGTTGTTTTCTCTCCAGTTATAAAAATAGGCTTTTTTTATCGGTACTCACCATTGTTTCTTTGCTGTCCTGGAGACAGAAGTGTCTTAAAATCCAGTCTCTCCAACAGATGCTGGAAGGTAATGTGTCTTGTTTGAAGTCATCATGTGAGAACTTCTGCTTTGCTCAGTGGATCGCCCACCACTTGGTGTGACTTATGAATCTAATAACCCTTTGCAATATCCGCAAGCTTAAACTCTCCACCACCTTGGTGCCTACAGAAGACAGAAAGCAACTGGCAGGGAGTTTTAAAAACCTATAGATTTACGCAAACGCCTTAGCTCAGAGTCACGTTTCCCTTTGAGTTATTACGTGAGCTTAATGAATGAGAGGGGTTACCAGCTAACAACGGTATAAAACGTGATCGCGGCCGCCTCCCAGGAAACCAGAGCGGGACGGAAAGTTCCCGAGGAAAGTCCTTCCCGGCAGCGGAGCGAGCCCCGGCTCCCGCCGCCCTCCGTCCGCCTCCTGGCCCGCACCGGCGGCCGGCCCCAGAGCTCTCCGCTGGGGACAGGTAAGTAAATGTTTGCCTTTGGGGTTTTTTTTATTCATTTATTTATTTATTTTTAAATGTCACGTTCGCTCCGGCTCACACCGGGAAGCGCTCCAGGAACTTGTTGCATCCTACCTCCTGCCACAAGAGGAGCGTGGCACAGTTGCCAAGACGAGTTCCTTTCGGAAACCCCTGCCTTTCCCAGGCACAAATTCCCAGCACCTCCTCCTTCCCCCGCTGTGCCCCCCGGGGCTGCCCCACACCAAGTGGGAGGAGGGAAGCAGGGCGCATCCCGGGACCCGGCCTTCCCCTTCTCCCCTTCCTCGCCGCCCGTCCCCGGCCGTTCCTGCTACAGCTCCGTCCGTCAGTCCGTCCGCGGCGTAAAACCACCCGCCCGGGCGCAACCGCTGTCCCTGTCCCCACGGGAGGAGGTCGATCCCCACTGTTATTCCTGCCACAAGTCGCACAGAGTCCTCGCCCCAGCATTTTTGTCTCCGAAACTCGAGTTGATTGCTCGCTGAACAGCCCAGCGAGGAGCGTGTGCGGGGCGGGGTGGGATGCGGGGTGGGGGTTGGAATGCTGGGAGGGATGCTTCGCCTTTGGTGTCGAACTGCAGGCAACTGAACCCGGACTCTCCAAAGTTTGTGAGAGCTGCCCCTCCTAACAGGAAAAAGCAAGCCCAAGCCTCAGCAGCTTATCGCCCGCTAACATTCTCTCCCGAGCGACTCTTGCAATCGCGTTTACGGGTCGTTTCTCTTCCGAGCGCCCCTTCTCCCATGCCCACCCCCCGCGTCCCAGGTACCTCTGCCCGGGAGCCCAAGCAATCAGCCTCTTCCATGACAACCAGCTATGTTGATCCATGCAATAACCAGCAGATGCTGCCCTAGGACTGGTACAGCTGGTACTTCCCTGCCTCGGGGGCAAGGTGTTAGAAGAAAAGTCAAGTGGTCTCCAGCAACGCTGCCCTGAAGAGAAAGAACTGCTGGATCCCTTCACCGGCGTCCCGCACTTGCTGTATGCCATGCAGCAGGCAGAGCCGTTCAGAAAGGCTGTTACAGGTGTAAGGCTGCACCCAATAAATCACCCTATCAGTTGTCACCCAAGATGCATCCTTAAGTACTGATCTTCAGTTAGGAAGCTGAAGTTTTCTTCCAGCAGTTGGAAGTACTCATCGTTTGTGTTACTACTAGTTGGGAATACCGCTTTTTAAATTACATTAAAGGAAAAAAAAAACCCACCCCAAAACCAACTCCAAACCAAACTGTTTCAGCAAGTGGGCTTGCAGTGAATTCTGCCTTCCCCCAGCTTTCTAAGCAAAGAGCTCCTGCCCCTCTTTCAGGGGAATAAAATAACTATGGTAATATTTACTTTGGGAAGCTAGTCACACAGTTCATATTTTGACCACACAAATATGTATTCAAGTCTTAAAAGTTTCTGACTCCGTGGAGTCCTCAGTGGTTCTGGATAGAGAGAACTTTATAAATATGAAATACCAGTAAAAAAAAATATCTCTACATACTTATTTCATAGCTCAAAAAAAACAGTCACCGAGAAAGCAGCTCCAGCCGTACCACTTGTAAGGAAGTATTTTACCTACAACACCACTCCCCCTCAGCTTCTCATCTCATTAAGTTCTTAGATATTTCAATTTTCTGAGGAAGGTCTCAGTTGTTAGAGATGCCCAGAAGCATCCTTTGGTGGGTCACAGTATTATACTGATGTAGTAATGTTAAACTTTTAAAGCTTCCCAGAAGATCCACAGCAGGAACTGGTCCATTTCAGTCCTGCCCAGCTGCATTTTCCAGAGCAAATCAATGGGGTTTGCTAAGAATACTAAGGCAGGGTCATGCTGACAGTACCATAAGCAAAGAGAGAGCTAACTATAAGAGCTCTTCTTCTGCTTAAGACAACACAATAGGACTCCACCCACTTGGGGATAGGTGACAAGTGATAACTTACCTTGCTCCTTAGGCCAAATTAAGCATGTGTTTGCTTTATGTCACTTCAATCACATCAGTCTGAAGTAATAAATGCAAAACCAGCAGAGTAATCAAGAGAATGGTACCAAAGTGTAGGGAAGGAAAAAAGGTCATTGGTAGGGTAATATGGGATGCTATAGAGTATGAGAATTATCTGGCAGAAGAGGATGAGGTACTATAAAACAATCACAGTCCTTTCCTTGTGCCATTCACTAGTGAGAGAACAGCCCAAGTTATTCTGATGGACCAGAGCTCAAGATGGGACATCAGTCAATGCACAAAAGTGCTGGAGGAGAGTCACTGACAGACAGCTGGGAGATACTCCTGAAAGAAAGGCACTGGAGAGGGAATGGAGTAGAATTAAGCCGAGATGCCTGTTGAGTTTCCAGCCATTTCCTTTCTCTACATCATGTTTCTGACTATGGTTTTTATCTCTAGAAGGGCTGATCCCTAGGCTATGGGAGATTCAGCCATGAAAAATCACGTGGTGTGAGTAGGTGTGGGGGATTATTATTCCTTATTACCATAGAGGGGCACAATAGATTCAAAATTACTCATTGGACAAGTCATACACATCAGTACAAGTCAGGACCAGTGAGTAGAGTTTGGTTCACCGTTTAATAGTCAGGTGATCCATTTAAGGGGTGTTGAAACAGGATAGCCGTTAGCTTTTGCCAGAATGACAGGGCCCAGAATTTGCTATATTCAGGTAGTTCATACATATAAGGCAATGTACATCTCTTGTTCCAAGTCTGTTTATCTTGGATTTACATTGTTACCAGATGAAGTATACAGCTGTAGGACTTGACTTCAGTGGGACTACTCATATGTAAATAGTGACATAACTGTTTATCAGATGAGGCCTAATTAAGTGGGAATCAGTCATACATTTTCCCCTCTCTCAGACAAAAGAATGCAAAGAATACTGCAGGAGCATTGCTAGAAAGCCACAGCACCTTGAACCATCCTGCCAAACATCCAGAAATCCTCAGTGAGCTGCAAACATTCGTTCCCTGGCTTAAAACAGTTTTGAAAACAATGAGCTATTCTTGGTTGGCTTTTTCACATACTTGAAAGGCTACCAAAATGTGTGGACAACTGCTAAGTACACGCTAAAAGACACCTTACACCCATTGTGCACAGGCTGCTCCTTCAGAGATCCCTGAAAACCCGCCTGGAACACCAGCGTTAGCAATCCGAGCAGAATCAGATGCTAACAGCAGCTGTCAACTTTCTGTATTATTACACCATTGCTGTGTGAAACAGGGCTGCCAGACATCAAATGGCGTGTTTGAAAGAAAGGTCCCCCAGGGGTCACTGTGTGCTGGTTTGGCTGGTAACCTCCTGCTCCTTCAACAGGCAGGTTTGGCACCTACCCTGGTACTCCCTGGAGGGTAAATACCATCCTCAAAGTACATGTTTAGAGCAGCCTCCCATCAAGTGTTGATTTTCTGTGGCTGATCTCCTCCTCCTGGACAGATTATCCCACTCCCATATCTCCATCTTTTCCTGCTGCAAGCCTTAGCAGACTTTCACTCTGCCTCCTCCTTCCCTGGAAGAGTTTTTCTTTCTTTCTGAGCCTACTCATCTTCAAACTGCTCCCAACTGCGTATATTCCATGCTGGTAACATGCAGATGAACATCGTAGTCATGATCCCACTCAGATACTAAACAAGCCTCCCACCAATGCCTAGTCCTCATTTAAAGCACTAGAACATTTCAGCTTGCTTTCAGTCTCCTGAAAGCACCAGGAAATCCTCTGGAGTAGGCAGGCGGCAGCAAATGTGTTTGCTGTGTTTTCACCTCAGAGAATGACTCGGCATGGACTCGCCTCTGAATGCACGTTTGGAGGGCAGAGAGGGTGAGACCCCCAAGGTGCGGTGGTGGGTCCATAGCCAGCACAGAGCCTTGGCTCCTGCCCACATCCATTCAGCACCCGAGGAGAGGGACTTTCAGCATCAGCATTAATGGGAGGCATCTTGCACTTTGGCTTCTGTTAAAATCACAAGTTGTGCCAAGCTCATGTTCATGCTTGGTTAAACCAGAAGAGAGACTCGAAGAAGAACTCAAGCTTGGTACACCCAAGGAAACACAGACCTGGTATAAGTCAGGATAACATCAGGGTTTCCACCATCCAAGGTGTTTTGAGCAAACACCTTGAGATGGGTGCCTGGGGCAGTGTTCCTGCACTACATGGGCAGCAGTGCAGCCTAGAGAGGGAGGAAACATGGCAAAGTTAAGAGTGGGGCTGCCAGCATTGTGTCAGCCTGTTTACTCATGCTGGGAAAATCCTTTGCTCTGCATTCTCGACTGGTTCTAGATCCTCCTGCATCGCTCCTGCAGCACACTGGGGCTGTACCCAGGGTTTAAGAACAGATGTTTGAGTTTTGCATTAAGTATTTATTTGCCATCAACTATTGTAAAAAGTTTTGCTCAAGCTATTTCCGTTGTTTATGGACAAGGTATTGTTTCAGGAAAACTTCTAAAAATAAGGTTTTGTTTTTTCTCAAACTACCACTGATGCAAATGTAGTTCAGACTGTATCTTATCTGCTTATGTGGCGCTCATTTAGGTTAGCTGCAAAAGACAGGAGAGGAGATAAATGTAATGGAAACTATTGGCCCACTTAAGTTCTCCTGGATGACCTAAGCAAAATGAGCCAGCAAGTATCCCTTACTAGAAGAAAACCAGAGATAGGGAGAGAAATCAGAACCTGGAGAAAAAAAGAAACATGACAGCTGTAATCTGTTACTATTGCAACCTGATTACAGGATTCATTGACATGGTGGGGGACCCAGTCTTTTGGCAGTAAAGACAATTGCTTCACATAACCACAGGGAAAGTATTTCTGGGCATAGCAACCTTTAAAACTGATTCTTTTTTTTATTTCCTCTAAGAAGAGCAAACTACAACAATACCGTGAATAAAATAAGCTACTCCACCACCTCATCCCACTTTTGAATGCAGTTCTGTACAGCCCTGAGTTACTAAAGAACTCCAGCACTTCCAGTACAGAAATACTCTTATGGA